CGACAGTTAAATCATGAGATCTCATGTGTTCAGTATTTACAGAAATTGCATGTTACAAGTTGGTTTAAAGTTCACAAGTTGAAATGTATGACGTACAATGATTTATGCACGAAAACCATGAACTCACTGAGCTTTATAAAGCTGTCTATAGTATGCATCTCAGGCCCAGGGAGTTGCCTATTGTCATCTTGTTTTTAGTCTTTTGTCTAAAATGCACTGTAATGATCTTTTGTAACTCAACCCCAAAAGTAAGTGGGTTAGAACTTGAGTTAAGCTTGATAATTTCAAAGACTTCCGCTGTAATAGTTTAGATGGTTTTAAATTAGCCATCTTTTTGGGTGCATTTATGAAGGAAAAGGATTCAGATTACGTAACATTTCTCTTGAATGAAAATGAGGGTGTTACACAAACCGAGACTTACAAGAAACCGAGTGAACAATTACGTACCGATCATAGGATTCCATATTCAAATCACCATAATATACCATACCATTGATGCTCAATACAACAAGGAGACAGGATCAACAACCAAATATACTCAACAACGTTAGAATACCAATAAATATCAAGAACCAAGAGATCGAATCGGTAAACATAACGAGGACAGTGCATCACCTCGTCCTTCACCCCCGGGCTCATGCCAAAGTCCGAGTCATAATCATACAATACGGGAGACCTCGCACTAACCGCCTTCCTCTACCGGGTATGTGCCAAGGTTCCCTACTCATTGCTCTTCCTCCTCTTCGAGCAATGAGTATTCACAACCGCAGAAAGTCTCACCCGTCCAACCTGGGATCTTGACTTCGCCATAAACTTCCGGCGTACCACACGAATTAGTACCCATACTATGGCATACAATTCAAGGAACAAAACAACGAGTCTAGAACCAGAAAGCAAACCGATGTACCGAGATAGTAATAAGGAATCAACTCAAGAGACGGAATCAAAGACAAATCAAGCTTGTGTGACTCCATTCAAGACCAAAAACATTCATATGAAAATATATATGTTCAAATCAATATGTAACAATTAACTATATAACTCACCGGACAACCGTATAATACCGAAAAGCTCCAAAATGAGCTCACAAAGAAAGTCCAAGCTACCACACTTAGATTGCTTCCAAAGCATAAAAATATGTCCTAATTACCCCCTGGAGTAAATGTACAAAATCTCATAAGCAATCAATATAAGAAACTCATGATATACACATACCCTATTTGAACATTTTACTTAGATTTCTATGTACAGCTGCTGCATGCAGAACTATTTTGCCCATTTTAATCTCGAATTCATGCCTTGATCATAAAATAAGAAATAAACTAGACTCAATTATCTAACTAAGAAAATTGGCCTCACCTCATTTGGAGTTTTCTACGATTTTATACAGATTTTCAAAGTCTGCACACTTTCAATGCATTCTTAAGTCGAAATTCTCATTTTCATACATTTTTYTCAAACCATTTCGATTCCAAACTATTCCAACTTCTGAATCTCAACTTAATATAACATATTTGACATAAAAAACCAAAATCCAACMTTTATTTTATCATTTATATTATCTCCCAAATCATTGACTTAATCAAGTCAAAGTTCATATGATGAACTTGCATAAATCTTGATAATCTCTTGAATCTAATGACCATTTCATGTCATAAACACTAAAATGCACTCATTTTATATACTTAAGATCAAACCCATATGAAACCCTAACTCTAACTCAACATGTAATCCATATAACAAGAATATCAACCAAAAACAAGTGCAAAAATAGATTATACCTTACTTGATGATCAAATCCTTCAAAGATCTTGTAGTTCTTCTTTGATTTGAGTTGAATCAAGCCTATGTGTGTGAAAATCGTACCTCTAGTGTGTGTGTGAGTTCTGGACTTAAATGACAAGAAAAAAATGGGCCAAAACTCCAATTTATAATGCTAAAACTCGAGTTGGGCCGGGTTGGCCCGGCTAGGTATCCATTTTGACCATCAACACTTAAATTATTCATAACTTTTTGCTCGGACCTCCGTTTTCTATGAGGTTTTCGGCTACACGTTCATAAAGAGATAATCTATAACATCCAATAAAAATATTCTAGAAAAGATCTCCAAAAAAATCCGTTTTACGTATCTATTTGACGTGATATTTTCCAAATCCTCTAATATATTTTTAAGAAATATAATTCTAAAACTTCAGACCCAAACTCCCACTAAATCATAAGTTCTCTTTAACCCAATAATTAAATATACTCAGCAAATAATTTGGGCATATTAGAAATTAGATGTTACAATTTATAATATTAATATTAATATATATATATATATATATATATTTAATATTGATCTTCCATGTTCATTGTTTTATGAGTTTTTAATTCGCATAGGAAACACGATAGTAAAATTTTCGGTATCGATCAAACTAATATGGATAAATGCAATGGAAAAGAAATCGACAACAGTGAGAAGATTAAAATGGTTTATGATGACAATCGGAGTTCGAGG